TCCTCTCCTCCCCTTCCGACCACGACCGTGCACACCATGCACGGGAGCTCCCACCACTAGACCAATCTGCTCGGGAGTTCCTAGACACGCACAATGAGGTTAGGGCCAAAGTAGGGGTGGCCCCAATGAGTTGGAACTCAACTCTAGCAAAGGCAGCCGATGAATTTGTAACGTACTACGAGGTCAATAACCAATGCCAAATGCCCAACACATGGAAGAGCAACAATAACAAAGAATTCGGGGAGAACATCTTGTCCACAATCGGTGGAACCACACCCGCCGTGGACGTTTGGGCTCAAGACAAGAAGTCTTGGTCATACAAGCAGGTGGTCTGGCCGAAGACTTCGGAGTTGGGTTGCTCACAAGCTCTTTGTAAGGAGGCTGATTGGTCAAGTTTGACTGTTTGTTTTTATAGTCCACCTAAACCTATTGATATTATTAAGTCAAAATCAAAATGCCAAAATGGCAATAATAATGTGTATAGGATGATTTTTCAGGCCCAATAAATAATGGCAGTTTCTTGTTCTATGTCTTTTGTTATAATAGTGTTATTGCAAATTGAATGAATTCAAATTGCGAATCGAACAAGTTTAACTGTTTGTATTTATAGTCCTATGATGCCAAGTTCAAGCTGCCAAACTGCCAATAATATGTACAAGGTGTTTGTTGAACAGCAATAATGTGGCATTTTCTTATAATTTTACGCTAAATTTCATTCTTGATATGATCTATATGTTTAATTTGATGTTTTTAATACAAGTATTCTATTTGACTTTCTGCTTGATTCACCTTAGGGCTGGCACGGGTGAATGTTGTTTTGATAGAAACAAAAGTCGACTCATGTAGTATCAATGGAATAAAATAGTTTTAGAGTGCACTTTTGTTTTTTCTTACCATTGGTTCTTGTATTACCTTCATTTTTTTGTTTTCCCAATTTGAAATCTCTCGGGATTCCAATGGAAATTTTTGTAATTTAATGGATTTTTGTTATAGATATGAGATATCGGAGAATATATGACCTAAATTTGTCATGGTATCTGTAGAGAATATTTCAAACATTATCCCAAACTTGAACCCCACTGTGATCATACATTTAAGTACGGTGGCGTCCAAAGGGAAAGAAGATAGAGCAAAAGAGTCGCCAACAAGTTTTAGGAACTTGTAAACCGTTCACGAGGTGAAGGTTACACCCCTTAACGATCCAGGAGATCGTCAAACTCCAATAGGTCTGGAACCATGACTGGTAGTTCGGGGATGAAGTTACAAATCCAACCTAAAAGAGATTGAATCTGCCCTAATAATAGGCATCTACTTTATTCTGATCGTATTCATGTGCGCTTTCTGACTAATATGCAATCAATAAGATTACCCTAAACCTGTTTATCTATGCTGGTTGAATATTAATGCACAAACAAATCTATTATTGGCGATCACTTGAATTATAACCATATTAACCCTAAACAAGATTATTAATTATCTTATTAAGCGTAGTTACAAATACCAATTCCCTTTAAACATGCATAAAAGGCGTGATCAAGCAATAACAATAAATAAATCAAGCAACATAATAATAATCATAACAATTATTATAACAAAATTATAACCATAATCAAAACAATTACAAAAATAATCATGTTAAAGCATAATGATAGCAAGATCCTAGGCATAATACTAACAATATTAATAACAAACTCTAGCATGTCATTAAGCAATAAAAATCAAAGCTTTAGCCCTAACATGATACTAACATGAATATTAAGAAAGAAAATAAAAGGCATCATAGAAATCACAATTGTCATATTTGATATTAGAAATTATAGTTGTTACCCTAAACATGATACTAGGAAGACCAAAACGCCCTAACATGACACTAGGAATCATATTAACAACCTAGACATGATTTCTATATCATAATATCAATAAATCAATTAAAGCACTTACTTGGATGCCTCGTATCTCTTTCAAATAACAAAATACACGCGTTAGTAACTTCAAGAAAAATAATATAACCAAAGAATTAAATTAAATAACTAAAAGAGAGATTTGGGACCAAACCCTCAGAAATTAAAACCTTTCACGTCTAGGGCGAAGGCAACTTCGAACAACGCTAGGTGTGTCTAGATCTTGTGAATGCGGAATTTTGTATGCAATAGAGCTAGTTTAGAAAGAGAAAGAGAATCAACTTTAGCTTAGAGAGAAGAGAGAATTAAAACTAGAGAGTTGATGCTATTTGATGAAATTTGATGATGGAAAACGGAGGTTTTAGGAGGCTATTTATACAGAAAATCAGCCAAACAGATAGAAAAACAAATCAGAGTTTCAACGAGGATAAAACAGGTTAGCGCCAGATGCTGAACATTAGCGCCAGGTGCTAATCTCTGTCGTCAGGCGTTAACAATTATTTTCACGCGTTTTCTTAATTCTGATAAAATTTAGCCGTACAGAAGGGAAAAAATCGTATTTTCCTTAAAAACACTCTTTTATTCTGATTAAAACTCCAAAAAGTCAACCAAAGTCAATTTATTAATGCTAATTGAATTAGGAATGAAAAGGACCTTCTAAAACAATCTAGAAGACTAAAATCAATTCTAATTGCATTAGGAATCCCTCTTCTCTGGTAACCCGCCGCTGGTCATATACATATAGAGCGCTCCGCCCGCTATATCCATATTAGGCCCTCATGTAGATCATTGAGCCACATATAAGTATCAAACCAGGCCCAGTTTAGTAATTTGACCATAACTTCCTCATTATTCATCGGAATTGGGCTTATAATATATCGTTGGAAAGCTCTTTTCAAGCCCCATCCAACTACACCATAAAAAAACTGGATTGACTGTTTTCTTAAAATAGGTTTTCAAAAACAGAGAGAAAGAAAAGGAATTAAAACTATCCACAACACTAGACTTTCCACACTTTCACCTCATTCGATTATGATTCGACGCAAAAGGTACTCATCACCGGGTTTGGTTTTGGGGAGACACATTTGGGTGTCTACAGTATCAGAGTCAGGTTATATCTTGGAAGCGTTTCACAAAAATTTCCCTTTGCCAGGGGGTTAGAAAATTAAACAAACTCACCGGTGGGTTTAATTTTTGATAATAAAAGTGTTTATGTAACTGTCTTTCAATACCCCAATTCCCCAATAAATATATATACCAAAACCCTAAATTTGTTCCTCTTATCTTTTTTGCTTTTCCCCTCTTTGCGGCAACCCTAATTCTCCAAAATTTCCCCTTTTTCTTCCTCACCACCTCCATAACCATCTCCCTTATTCCGGTCACCACTTTTCTCAGTCACGTCCATCACCTTCCTCAGTCACGCTCCATTACTCCGATCCATCAGTCACAGTCACCACTCCTATCACCCCTCAGTCACGGTTTCTCACCACTAGTCCACCGTCGTCGCTCGTGTTTGCGCTCCCTCACCTCTAGTCCACAATGGCTCGTGTTTTCCCTCACTTCTAATTTTAATCTGACATTTAAAATTTATGTCGATTTTCTTTGATTTCTCATTTTCTGCTTCATTCTCTTTTCCGTATACATTAATTGTATAATGATAACATTTGATATCCTATTTGAATTTGATGGAATATATACCCATGTTGTGTTCTTATTGACGAATTCAACAAAAATTCGATTTGTTTTGCATTCATTTTTTAAAACCAAATTATTTTGGATTGGATTGGATTGGATTGAATCTAAATTCGGTTTGGATTCAATTTGGTGTGAAATCCAAACCGAATACCGAACTTTCACCCCTAGTGGATGGTATTAAGATATCTAAATATAATAATAAGTATTTGGAATCAGGAAATGCCTAGGGTCATCAGTATACGTAATTTTCTTGTAATTATATTTGTTATTCATATTGTCATTCGCTACATATTAATATTTTGGGTTTAAAAGATCACATAGTTTGGTGGTGACATATTTTAACTAAAATTTTGGGCTTTAAAGCGCTGATGCGCACCATAGCTAATCATGTTTAGAGGGCCTTCAGTTGTTGGCAAGGGAAAATATGTAAACAAAATATATATTTTGGGGTATAAATGTCCGCACATAGTTATTAAGAGTTTCAAAAAAGGCAGTTGACTAATAAGTAAATAAAAATTATATAGGGTATAATTGTCCAAACATTATTCATGAAAGTTAAATAATAAAATTATACAAGGATAAGCTTAGATGCAATTAATATCATATTACTAGGGCATATAAGTAATCAAACATTTTAAGGATATAATTGTCCTCACACGATTCATAAGTGTTTTCTCATACGGAGTACTTTTAAAAGTTAGGAATATCGTATGTAAATCAAATTTTGATTTCTTTCAAAATGTTTATTTTTATTTATATAAGTAAATCAGCAAATTTTGATTTCTAGTTTCACCAACAAAGAAAAAAACAAATTAAAAAAAAAATTCTACTACCTCCGATCCGTTCAAAAAACTTGTGAATGTCCTACTTTAACCTTAATACTCCCTCTGTCCCCTTTTGATAGACCCTAATGGGCATTTTTCACGGGAATTAATAAACACAAAAAAAAAAATAGTTAAACTATATTGAAAAAGTAAATTGACATTGGGTATGCAAAAAAGTAGAGAGAGAGAGAGAGAGAGTGTAATAGAAGTACATTAGAAAACAAAATTTATATGGGAAAGTTAAATTTGCACAAAAATTGTTGAAAATTGGAGGGAATTTTGGTAAAAAAAATTACTCCATAATATTAATAGTTGTTGGAAAAAGCAAAAAAGGTGAACATTTTGGGACTAAAATTTGTCCATAAGGGACTATCAAAAGGAGACGGAGGGAGTAATAAATAATTAAACATTAGTAATAATTATAAAAAAAATTTAATACGACGAAACTTTATTTCAATATCTTTATACTCCCTCCGTCCCTTTTTTACATTCCTGTTTGTAAAATTACACGGGAATTAAGGAACTAATAACTTTTAACTGAGATTATGTTTAGTTTTCGCAATATATATGTGAATCTTGGTTCAATTGGAAAAACTGAAAAAGGTTTTTCTTATCTTTTCTTTTCCCATAATTTTACTTGTATATCTGCTCTTGTTTGCTCTCTCCAGCCCGGTTTCAAGGCAGTAGAGAACAGGAATGAGGTTTTGATAACTAGAAATTATATCGAAAAAGACTAGGAATACCCCTGCCACAAAATCTTGCAGTATTGCTGAGAGAAAAGTGAGTTTTTGATGAACTCTCATTGTGCTGCAAGAGATGAAGGCAGGGGTGAACCTGAAAAGCTCAGGTGACCATTTCTGTTCTTAAAGTTTCGTTGTTTTGTTTTGTTAACCTTTGATCAACCTTCAAAGTTTGTGATGCGTAAATCTTAATTTCAAGTTTTATGCAGCTCTTTTCTTGACTTGATTAAGACGGTCTTATGTGAGTTCACTGGGACTATTGCTTGTTGAATGTTATTCTCAGATTCTCTTACTACACAGCCGGTACCGGAGGTGTTGGTCGAACAGTATTGTCGACAAGCTTTTTACTTCTCGAGAAGAGGTTATTGTGTACAACAAAGGTTGTAGTCTATGATCCTAATGCATAACATCTATTACTTTTCAGTAGATGATGTTACTCAATTTGACAAGGAATAGTGATTTTTCTGCAGACATCTGCCAGAAGTAAGAAGTGCTCATGAAGTTCTGGGAGTGGGAGTACCGACTGTCAGTGCTAGATTAGGGACTGCACCCTTTTGGAACTGGGGAATGCCAAGGCTTAATAAACTAAATTGGTTCAGGGATATCAACTTTTCAAGGACAACATTGGAGCATTTAGCCGACTCATTTTGAGGGATTAGCACATTTGAGGGATATCAACTTCCTGTTTTTCCCTTATTTTGCAGGAGTAGCAGAGTAAATAATCTGAAAGCAGGTATATTGTTTCCTTTCTTATTTTCAATATAAAGTCTGTGAAATGTTGTACAAAGAAATAAGACATTGAGTGCATCTAATTTTATTTATTGTTCATATATAGATTGTATTGATGATTGAAATTGATAAACGATTCAATATCGGTCATGGTTAGCTCAATTTTTTTGGGTCTGAATTCAGACTTAATTTAAATGCATTAATCGTGTGCCTAATTTAGTTGATCGTTCCTGGATTATAACCTGAGTTTGTTTGTTGGCTGGGCTCAGGGGTGGTCGGGTGGATCTTAGTTTGGGCCGGCGGGGTTTTGGATTGTTGGATTTTGGTTTGGCAGAATTTTAAGTTTTAAGTTTCAACTAACTACTCATGTTATAATTAACAAATATCCTTAAAGATAATCATTTACTTAGTATCGTCATCAATTGATTAGTTTAATTGTTGGATTTTGGATTTTCTAATTTAGTTGATAGAAATTAGTTTAATTGTTGGATTTTGGATTGGCAGAATTTTGTTTTGCAAATAGGAAGTGTGGCAGAATGTATTATATTTGAGTCTATGCTTTGGTCATTGTTATTATTGGTAAAACAAATATTTGGGTGCTCAAATAATTTAGTCAATTATGATATATCAGATTTGAAGATGAATGAATCTTTTAAAGGTAGTTTTCTTATCATTCTAATTTAGATGATTTGTCATATCTGCTGCATTAGATTTCTCTTTATTGTCATTGTTCTTATATTCATCAGAATCACTTAGAGAGGTCCATTCGTATTCGGTAAAGTGTTGCATCAAGATTTAAACTTCTCTTATGTTTGTTGTGTGTGAATTGAGGTCAGTAATCTGTATATAGCTTTAGCATGTTAGTATTGACTCATTATTAGAGCAATTAGGATTTGAATAATTGGGAATCCTTTACTTAATTTGTAAGAAACAGGCAGAGATAGAGAGAGAGAGAGAGAGAGAGAGAGAGAGAGAGAGAGAGAGAGAGAGAGAGAGAGAGAGATAAAGGGAGGTTTGAAAAAGAAACAGGTTGTAAACAACTAAACACTCTCAAATCCTCTCTAAATGACAGAAGGATGTTGAACATCACCCTAGATTACCAAAAGGATCAGCAAGTATAATTTCAACTCTAAGCCGGAACTTCCCTCCATTTGACTTAAATCTAATGGATTGTCAAGTAATACCCTTCATTGAATTATACTGATTATCCAATGTATTCAAAATAGTTAATAAGAATATATAGTCTGCTTGAATCAGGAATAAGTGTTCACATTCCAATTGTTGCTCTAACAACACACGCAATGTCGTAAGATAGACAAATGTACAGGGTTGTCTCGAGATCAAGTGCTTGTCTGCTTGAAAATGTGTATAGGCGGATCCAAGTCTTCTATGTAAGAGTCAAAAGGGTAACTTTTGTTTGTGGTGATGATATAATCAGGCTTTGGGGTATAAAATAAAATTTTAACAAAGAGAGAAAAAGAGGTAATACCTTACTAACTTTAGTACTCTTATAATTATTAATTGGTTCACAAGTTCTAGAATCTAGAGCTTTTTCTTACTTTAGCCGATAGTTTTTTTTTTTTTTATTTTGAATATTGTTAATGTGTGTAGATGCTTTTTTCCGAAACTTGCTTTCATTTTAGAATTTAAAAAAGCAATGTCTTACTTCTTTATGGGAATGAATAACGACAAATAATTTTGGATATCCAGTTGTAGTAAAAGCTAACATCATATCTTAATTGTTCAGTAACAACTTAGTGGTTGTTGAAATATGTCTTAAGCCATTTTTAAGGTGAATGATTAGAGTTTCCTAATTTATATTGTGGCTACTTAAAGATTAATTGCGTCTTTGTAATATTTCAGGTTTTTCTACACAGTTGCATTCTTCTCTCGACTTAATTGAGCAACTACGAGATTTCAATGGCAGAAAAGTTGGTTATTTATTTATAGAAAATTTGAAAAATTGAGGAAATTTTGTAAATGACATATGCCATCAGTAATCTAAATAACTTACATACATTTTCAATTTTTCTTTAATTTTTCAATAAATTTTTATTTTTTAAAAACATTATTATGTAAGTTATTAAAAATTAATCCTCTTTCTCATTCGTTGAACATTTAGATAAGATTCTTAATATTAGAAGATATTTTTTAAAAAAATATAGAAATTTTGAAGAAAAGAATACATATGTAGGCCATCAATCAGTTTTAAGTTTCAACTAACTACTCATGTTATAATTAACGAATATCCTTAAAGATAATTATTTACTTAGCATCGTCATGAACTGATTTATTAGCTTGCAATAAGTATCAAAAATATCTTTTGAAGATATCTTGTAGTAGTATGAAATAGTACAGTTTTGTATACAATATGAATTTCAAAACTATGTCAATCTATGATTCAAAGGGTTAAAAAAAAAAGATTCAAGGTAAGAGAAAGAAGGAGATGGATTTATTTGAAATAAGTGCTAAAAGGAGATATTAGGAGGAGAATAAGGGTCTGTTCACATTTACTGAATTTAGATGCACTGAGCTGAGCTAAATTGAACTAATTAATTTATTTAAAATGAAATAAGAACTAAAAGGAGAGATTGGGAGGAGATGGATTTATTTGAAATAAATTTATTGATTATCTCGTAGTTAACATGAATTATATATAAGCACTTTTAACAAAGACATTGTGTTTAATTGAGGAGAGGGGGAGAGGGTCTAGGAGAAAAAAAAAGAAGAAATTGATCCCTTTATCTCTCCCAGCTTCTCTCTATCATCATCTTTCTTTTGACCTCCCTCTCTTTCTTGTAACTTTCAAATTTTATTTTATATACTAATCTCAATAAGTATTTGTATTATATACAAAATACTTATCCTTAAATTAGGAGTCTAACCACACTTGTCTATGTTCATTTTAATTTGAGTAAGGGTTCGTATTAACACATTAAACTGATGCAAGCAACTTCCCTTTTACTAATCCCCCAATCGCCTTGATCACACCACCCAGTTTGTCAATCCTTCCATCGCTTTCATCACACCACCCAGCTTGCCAATCCTCCACTCAAACCTCCAATTGCCTTAATCACACCACCCGTTTTGCCAATCCTCCCATCACCTTGATCGCTCCACCGTACCCAGTCCAATCACCTTGATTGCACCACTCAATTTGCCAATCTTCCAATCGCCCTAATCGCACCATCCAATTTGCTTATCCTCTAATCTCCTTTATCGCATTACCAAGTTTTCCAATCCTCCAATCACAACACCCAATTCACCAATCCTTTAATCACCCACTCACAGGCTCACACTGATGTAATTTGTACTTTTAAATTATTTTAATCAACATACCCATATATTACATTAATTCCTTAGCAACACAATCTATTCTATCATATTTCAACTTTGACCAACGCCAACATCTATACCTAACTTCGTTATAAATAAAACGTTATTAATAATCTGCACATATATCATCGCATAATTACACATTAATCACCAAGGATAGATCACCAAGTTGGGAGACCGCGCGACTCCAGTGTTAGTTCAAGCTTTAGTTATGCGCAATTTAGGTGATGAAGATAAAGCCTGATGATTACAGAAAGAAAGGAATACTCGAGGATGTTCACAAAAAAAAAAAACAAAACTGTATTCAAGAAAACATTAGGGAAAAGCTGTAATGATTTGATTAGTTGATGATAAAAGCCATTACAATACTGAAACTATATTAATAACTCATTTCTTACCATCTTTTTGTTATAACAAAATGCTACATATTTCGACAATCATTCCCCTTAAAAGCATGCTCATATGCCTTCTTTCGCTGTCCACTCTAGCTTCCATGTTTGCATCATTATGTACTATAACTAAAGTGATCATTAGAAAAATTAAATTATATTAACACATAAACTACGACTAATTACACACTAATCAACATGCAAAAAAAAAAAAGGACCATTAACATGCTCATATTGGAAAATTAAGAACCAATCATATTCATCTAAAATTAGGAGTGAGAATAGAAAAGTAGGAGTGGGAAAATAAGAATGAGCATTAATTAAATACCAGAAAAAGAGGGATAATTTGGGATATTTAGAAAAAAAAATACTTACTAAAAAAGGAAAGGAGGAATGTAATTTTCGAATACCCAAAAAGGAAAGTAGGAATGTAAAAAAGGGACGGAGAGAGTATAATAGTTTACATGGATTTTTTTTTAAAAAATACATTAGTAAAAATAAAAAACAAAAAAATATGGTCAAAGCTAAAATATAAAGAGTGAAAAAGTCTAAGGTCCCATTCTTTAGAGCTGCTCTGCTCAAATCAAATCTTTTCTGCTCAAAAGAAATATGCTCTGCTCTGCTCTGCTTAATTTTCAAATAATAATTAATAATAATAACAATAATAATTAATATTCAATAATAATAATTAATATTTTATTGATGAAAATAATTTATTATTTTGAATAATTATAATAATTATTAATATTAAAAATAATTTTAATAATTAATAATAATAATTTTAATAATTAATAATAATACTAATAATAATTAATAAGTTTAATAATTAAAAATAATAATAATTTTAATAATAATTAAAAATAATAATAATTTTAATAATAATTAAAAATAATAATAATTTTAATAATAATTAAAAATAATAATAATTTTAAAAATAATTAAAAATAATAATAATTTTAATAATAATTAAAAATAATAATTAAAAATAATAATAATTTTAATAATAATTAAAATAATAATAATTTTAATAATAATTAAAAATAATAATAATTTTAATAATAAATAAAAATAATAATAATTTTAATAATAATTAATAATAATAATTTTAATAATTAATAATTAATAATAATAATAATAATTTTAATATTTAATAATAATAATAACAATTTTAATAATTAATAATAATAATTATGATTAATAATAATTTTAATAATTAATAATAATAATAATAATAATAATAACAATTTTAATAATTATTAATAATAATAATTTTAATAATTAATAATAATAATAATAATAATAATAATAATAATATTAATAATAATAACATCAACAACATTAATAATAATAACATTAATAATAGTATTAATAATGATGTTGAAATTTGCTCTGCTCGGCTCGGCTATCCTGAAATCTGCTCTGCTCAGCTGATCCCTGCTCTGCTCTGCTCTGCCAGAAGCTCAAAAGAACAAGGCCTAAGTTGGTCAAATAATATTATGAAATGAAGGGAGTAATAAGTATTCGTAATAACTAATAAATCAAAGATAAAGAAAATCAAGTTTGATTTTTTTTTTTTAATTTTTTTTTATATTTTTTAAAAATCATGTTTGATTTCTTACCATAATTACATTTATTTAAAAAAAAAATTTTAAGAAATCAAGTTTGATTTCTTACCATAATTACAGTGTGAAAGCAACCATGCATATCCTAACCTTTTTCTCTATCCTTGTCATTTATCACCCTACTATTCATTTATAAAAAGGACCAACATTTTTCTTAAGACTCCATCAACCAAACCAAAAAATACATACTTCTAATACTCTTTGAAGTAATTTGCAAAATTCTCTAGTCCTAAAAAAAATGAATTTTTTTGCAATTTTCCTCCTCTTGTCTCTTTTTTCTATCATTTCTCAAGCACAAATAGTCGAAGACTTTTGTGTCGCGGATTACACTCTCCCTAGTGGTCCGGCAGGGTACTCTTGTAAAAATCCCGCTAGAGTCACATTTGATGATTTTGTTTTCACGGGGCTAAGCGCCCCGGGAGACACAAAAAACGTGTACAAGGCAGCCGTTACCCCGGCATTTTCCTCCGAATTTGCGGCCTTTAACGGTCTAGGGCTTGCCATGGCCAGGTTAGACTTCGCCGTAGATGGAGTTATAGCGTTGCATGTGCACCGTACATCCGAGGTTCTTGTATTGGCTCAAGGTGAAATTATTGTTGGATTCATTTCCACCAATAACACAGCTTATTACAAGAAACTCAAAGTTGGTGAAATCATGGTTTTCCCACAATCACTCTTGCACTTCCAACTTAACGTTGGTAAGACTCCGGCGGTTGCATTCGTTACCTTGAATAGCGCGAAGCCAGGGCTTCAATTCATCGATAATTCTCTCTTTGCTGGGAATTTTCCTACTGATCTTGCTGTGAAAACCATGCTTCTTGATGATAATCAAGTTAAGAAGCTTAAGAAGGCATTTGGTGGTAAACATTAAACGTTTTAGCAATTTAACCAATGGAATAGTATAATATTAAATTAAAATACCTTTTAGGCCAGGTGTTTGTTACAATTTCTGTAATAATATAATAATCTATGTTTGTTTTAATAAATCATTTTTTATACTACCTCCGTTTCGCATTATCTGCAACAATTTCCATTTAGGGAAGCTTCATATTATGTGCAACAAAAAAAAAGTTTCCTCTTTTAGTAAATTTTTTTGTGTTAAATTACCACCATACCCTTACTAAACTACACTTAACATTAATAAACAACATATTAATTCTTTAACCCAAATTAATTTATCCATAATTAAACCCTAACCCACATTCTCTCTCCTCCCTCACAACCATATCCACCACCACCATCACCATTTTTTCTCTCTCCTCCCTGTAAACCACCACCAGCACCAACCTTCATCTCTCTTCACTCTCTTCTCGCACAACCAACGCACCACCACCACCACCCAGATCCACCACACCACTGACCATTCCACCGCACCACCACCTACCACACCATATCTTCTCTCTGTTCTCTCTCTTCTATCTTCTCTATTATCCACCGCACCACCGAATATTTTACCTCGCAAGTTCGCCGCCGGCGGCTCTTTTCCCCTTATCAAAGTCGTCGCCGCCGCCTCTTTTCCCCTTTTCAAAATCGAAATTGGATGGTGGTAAGTTGTGGTTTCAGATCTAAATTAGTAGTGGTCGAGTTGGTTGGTTTGGTGGGTTCATTGGCTGGTCGGGTTTGTTAGGTTGTGGTGCGAG